CCCCCCCCCCCCCCCCTTTATTACATGTTTTTAAATAATTAATTTAACAATAACATTCTCTTTAACTATGTAGTAACACATGACAATTGTTTGCATATTTTTTTATGCTGTGTTTTACTTAAAGGACAGAGCAGTGCTGCCTGTTAGCAGGCACATTGTCTGGCACGTCTGAACCCACCTCACAGAATCCTGGAAGCAGAGTCCATGCTGTTAACACCAGAAATAAGGAACAAAGACTATCAAAGCACACTCTCTTTAACAAAGAGTTAACCTAGAGGACAATCCTGACATAGATCATTTAAAGCACACGTGCTGTCTTTGAAACTGCATCTAAATTAAGGCTGGCACTTCCTTTAATGGCTTCAAATGCTACAAATTTGTCTTGGATAACAGAGAGGGAAAGAGGATGAGCACAGAGCTGCAGGTGTCCTGCAGAGCACAATATTACAGTGGCTTTAAGTAGCTTCTGACACTCAGTTACTCTGTGATATTCCTGCAATAAGCTGCTCCTACCAAGCAAATTCATGAAAGCCTTTTCATTTATAATCATCACTGAAACATCCTAATGGGACTGAATCATAGACCAAAATATAGACCTGTTCTTGCCCGGAGATGGGCTTAAGCACATGATTCAATCTGTCCTGAATCACAACGTTGGAACTGCTAGTCCCAGTTGAAGACTAGCAGAAACAATTTCAACTAATCCCTGCTTCAAAAAACCCAGTCATTGCTCACTTATTGCATCGGGGTGGCTGGAATGGGACACTTGTTGGAAATGATTGTTCTGCAGGAGACTCATGCCTCCTTTAGAGAGATCAAATTGATGAAAGAAAAATGAAAAGTGAGAAGAAATAGTCTAAAACCTGTTTTGTTTGACGAGCAACTGGATTCCAGTAAAGTAGCCTTTATAAACTTGGCATTCTCTTTATGCTTTTTAAAATAACCTTATTTTAGCAAGAGGCAAGAAGATGTTCTGGGAGGAAAACTCCCCCCCAAACTACAGATAACAGTCGCGTTCACTGCCAGTCACAAATTTTCTCACCTTATGCTTTATCTTTAATGCAATGCTAATGGTAACAATTTCTCGCTTGGGCTATTACACACCAGCTGGCAGAAGCACAGCACGACGCACCCACTGGCTAAAGAAAATCTTCACTTTCACATGCTAACCCTGCAGTCACATGGTTCCATAATCCATTCAGTAAAGCATGAGACACTCATCCTCAAAATCCCACCGAAACCCTACGGTGATTTGCTCATCTTACACTTTAATCCGTTATCGAGATCTATCTCTACATGTTTAGTATTTGTATTCAAAGGACACTAAAAAACAACACTTAAGTGAGGGGTTATAGAGCACTGACCAAAATGCACTCAGTGTTAATGGCAACAGAGAGGTGAAATTTGATTTTCAGAAATTAGTGAATTATCAAATGTTTTTTTTTGAGCAGGTTTCTACGCGAGTCTCCCCAGTTTGCTGAATTTGATTTTCAGAAATTAGTGAATTATCAGATGGTTTTTTGGAGCAGGTTTCTACCCCAGTCTCCCCAGTTTGCTCTATACAATCTGCTGCAACTTAGATAAAAGCAGGCTGACAGCTTATCTACATGTTATTGGAGGCATCAGCATCGTGACCGTGCAGTAACTTTGTTCTGGGAATACCCATGTGATGGGCAAAGTCCTGACTACTGAAGCTACTGCCAAATATGAGAAATGGACTAAAAGTGCAGTTGGTTTATTTTGTCCTATTTCCCCCTTCCCCGTGCTGTGTCGAGGGAATACACCTCAGTGAAGCAATTCTGCCAAAGGGCTGCAGAGCCTACAGAAGCCCTCTACTCCAGGTCAGGACATTCCTTTAGGAATGCCACATGTGCAGCTTGCTATGAAGAAGTTTTGGAATTGGATTTTTACCTTGTACACGTGAATACATTTGAAAATTAGCAGCTCAGAAAGCAAAAATTGTCCCAGTTTTACTCTGTCCCATCATCCAGAATCACTAGTTTCTTGCAGAGCCCCAACTGGCACCACAACCCTGGGCGCTGTGGTGGAGGAGGAGGATTTGCTTGTCTGCCCTGACCTCTTCTCCTGCTCCCAGCCCCACAGCGCCGGGCAGCAGGGACAGGCCACCACCACCACAGGCGGCCTCAGCCTCTCGTGTCAGCTTGTTCTCAAGAGTTTGAGGAAGGAGCCCACTTCCCAAAGAGCAGCACAGTGTGCCAGCCCCATCCTGCCACTCAGCTCCCTATGTTTGGGTGCACATGTTGTGTGTGCACCCTGTGAGAGCGCTGCACGCCCCAACACACCCTGCCCGTGCATGGACTTCTCTTGAACTGCATGGATTTCAATATAGATGCACAGTTCCACGTAAGTGGCTCCCGGTGCAAGACAAAATTAGACCATAAATCAAAATTGCCCATGTCAGGCAACAGACACAATCCCACAAGACTTCCCTGAGTAACAAAAGCTGGAAACCCCAGCTTGGTTTCTGCCCGTGGAGCAGCAAGCCACAGAGCTTCTGAAGCAACAAGAAACATTTACCACTTTTGAGCGCTGACTGTAACTGAAAACAAGAGTCATGCTCTGCTCAGACAGTCCACAAAAGGAAAGAGAAGAGTCATACTTGTCATGTCGAGCTTGCTGAGCAGTGCTGGGGAGGGTGCGCGCACGAGGAGCGATGAGCAGGGCTCTCATGGCCCAGCAACGAGCCTCTGAGTCACCCCACAGGATCAGGAACATGTGGCTCAAGTGGGAGGTGGGCAGCTATTCCACAGCATCCCTCTGGCTGCTCTGAAAGGTCACCTGCTGTCACAGCGCTGCCCGTGCCTGGGGAAGGCTTAGGGGGTGGCACTGTCCCCCCAGGACTTGTCACTGCACCTCCTCACCCGAGGCCACAGCTGGTCACCAGGTAAGAGCACCAGGTGGCACGAGGAAATGGCCCTGAGTTCGCTCCTGCCTGCATTCTCTGACCTATTGCCCCTCACACCATCAAGGTACAACAGAGGGCAGGCAATAACCCTCACGTTAAAAATTCACATAGTGGAAATATTACTCAAGTCTTGTTTTGGTTATCTCATTTTATACCTAAAACATGAGAAATATATACAGCCAGGCACACACAGAGCTCTTCCTCGCAGCCCCTTGGCTCTTTTCTAAGAGAAACAATTGTTTTAAACAATCAACAATTACTAATAAAAAGCGATTGAAAGTTAGTCTCAACAAAGTGTCATTTTTGATGTTTGCTTTGTTGTTTTTTTTCCTTTTTAATAAGAACTCCTTGCCCTTAGGTTTCTTATTCTGGGCCATTTGCTTTTCACGCTTGTTTTACACTGGGCTTTATTCAAGAAATTATTTTGTTTAAAATGTGAGAAAGTTACAACTTGCCTCCAATTTTCCTTTTCTCAAAATGATGAAAGTGCTTCTATCCGATATTTAAGTTCTAAAGTCCTCTTTTTACTTCCGTTCATGCAAAGACACTCCAGGAGGAAGGCACAAGCTTATCTAAGTTTTGGTGGCAAAAAAATTTACTCTCTGGAAGGAAATAAATGGACAGCCCTTAATTATTGCAGAGGTTTCCATCAGAAAATGTAGAATAACTCTACAGCAATTCATTTGCAACAAAGCTGGGATTTCATCAGGAATCCAAGACATAAAGCTTTAGTTTAGTTGTATTTATTTGTGTCAAAACAGCCCGGCTACATTTCTATTATTTTATATGGTCTCTCAGCAAGGGAGACATCACAATGGGCTGGGAATAGGTTGGGAATTTTTTGGCTGAGAAATGAAATCTGTGAAAAGCTGCAAGAGGAGGAGAATAAAGCTATCTTTTGAAACTTCACAAGCCAGTGGTCACAGATGAGGGTCCTATATTACTCAATGCCAGAAAGTGCGGGGCACCCCTTAAACCTTGAAAAAGGTTGGAACAGTTCCCTTTTCCAGCCTTCAGTCACTGCATGAAAAATTCAACTGCAATTAGCATTTAGTACAAAGCACTTTCTGTAGGCTGACAATAGGTAGTCAGAGCAGAAAGTGTACATAACAAGAACGGAATCCCATTTTAAAGAATTGCATGGGTTTTGTTAACAATGAAGCGATCCCCACTTTTTCCCCACAAAATTCAAACACACATAATTCCCTCTGCTCAGCAGCGTAAATCAAGAGCAAGAAAGCTGAAGTTTAGATTAAAAAGCATCAGGGGAAGTTCAGGGACATGGTAAAGGGAATTGCTTATTTTGCTGTTCCATTAAATAGGCAAGCTCAATGGATCCGACAGCCAGCCCCATTCTTTATGATCACCATTCACCATCAATCACGGGCGCTGTGTGTCAGACCTGCCTCACTGAAGTGCCCCTTGCTCTGAATGACTGTGATGTGCACTTTGTGCTGGGGGGGAGATGAAAGATGAACTATTATATTACTAAATATCTCTGGAAAAAAAAAAGGATCTTCCCTGCATTACATAATTTTCCATGACATTTCAATTAATCTCCTAGTGCTGTTTACAGTCCATACACTACACAACACAAGCCACTGTGCCTAAGCATAAAACACCAGGGAAGAAAAAGTAATAACTGAGTCTTAGCTGAGATGATGTACTTTCAACACTAATATTAAAACCAAACAGCATCATCACCTTTCACATCTGCATGCACGGAGACAAAAGTGCTTGATAATTAATGCAATAAAATAGCAGCTTTACAATCTTTGTCCCAAGTTCTCATTAATTCTCCACCACTCCCTTTTCCCCTGCACATTAGCCTTTCAGCAGTAGAGCAGAACAGCGAGGAAAAGCGCTGGTGGCATCGTGTGCAGCCACCCAGTTCTGCAAAGCATTTCAGAGTTAATGTTTTCTTACCTTTTATAGAAACCGTGAAGAGGCTGGAGACATAAAAACTGCCAGTAATCCAAGCAGAAGGCCTTTAACTTCAGCATTTTCAGATACTTCTACCGCAGCAAGCGGAGTCTGCAGCTAGGTTTTAACACCACCAGACTTCTTTTTGTTATGATTTGAATGACTCAAATCCAGTCCAACACACTCCTCTCCTTATTGCTGCAGCATAAGTGTTTCTAATTGCTAGCAATAGATGCAGCTCCTCAGCACATGGCACGGCACCTGCACCTTCCTGTATCCTACTTTAATACAAAGAGGCAGCCGCACAAAGGATACAAATTCATGTGCGCTCTTTGATCCCCGTTTCTCTTTCCAAAAGTCCCCAGTGCTCCCGGGATAACCGTTATTACACAGAAATCCCACTTCTCCTTTGGGCTATTTTAGGCCATTCTGCAAGCCCTCTGGTCAAACAGCACGTACATATTCCAGTTAAGGTTTCTGAAGGACCTTTGGAAAGCATCCTTAAAGCTCACAGAACTTTGGAAAATGCAAGCAATTATCTCAATCAGATCTGACAACAACTGCCCTATAATCTCAGCAGTGCTATGATCCCATCACATGGGAACTGCAGGCTTTTTTTTTTTTTTTCCCCTTTCTCTTTTTCTTTTTTTTTTTTTTTTTTTTTAAATAGAGCAGCACGCAACTCTGTTAATCAGCTCCTCCTGTGTAAATCACATCAGCCCCATTGTCTGCCAGCACCTATGAAAACTGTGGGCTCCTTGAAAAAAAAAGCAAAAGGCAGGCAGAAGTGCAGACCCTCCCCGCTCCCCAACCGAATTATGCTTATCTTATTCCCAACACACTCGGCCAGCGAGGGCTG